TGTATTTCGATTGTTTGTAGCTTCCAGGATCGAACTCAGGGTCATCGTCATCTTCCATAGGCTTAGGTGTCTCAGGCTCCTGTTTAACTTGAAAAAAACTCCTCTCCTCCTCATCATCAGAAGAAATGTAAATAATGACTGGTGATGGGGGTGGATTTGGATTAGGAATCTCCATGATAGAACTATCTACATAATGGTTACTCTCTTCCATTAGTTCTCCTTCCTCTTGCCCTCCATTTGCTCCTGGTTGGTGACCATGTGATGGGGAAGTACTCCTAGATTGATGGCTTGAAGAAGGTGAATTATTTCCCATTTGGTTGTCTTAAGTATAATAATTTGGATATGGAATGTGTAGGCGCTCACGATGATATTTTCAACTTGAACAAGATAGGAAATCAAATATCTGTAATTAGGGAACCATTGTTCGTAGTAATCTCTATATTTTGAGTAGTTGGGAATGTCCCCAGGCAAATAGAAATTGGCAAATTTAAAATGAGGGTTCATTAGGAAGATAATGCACAATTAGAGCTGAAATACGATTAAGGAGATCCCATTGTTTGTCCCCAAGGACATTACTCAGGTAAGAACAATAAAAATGGACTTTCTTGACATAGTCAAAGGGGTGTTCATAATCTTTTTTAAATAATGTTCAAATTTGCGAGTGTTTATTAGGAAGAATCGACTCCCTGTAAAGCAAAAGGTTTAGAAAATAATTCCCTTCCCAAAAGAAAAATAAAACAATACACTTCTTGCATGAATTTAAGTTTAATGTTCAATCATACAATTTTATTTATTTCTATTTACATAAATACATGCTTCACAATTATTCACTTCACATGATCAAACATCACAACCTAAATAATTAATGCATAAACATGGATAATTATAACTTATATGCCCAAATTCTTTCCTACCCAAGTTCACAACATGCTTTTAAAGTATTTAACACATAATTCATACCTTAATCCTTCGCTTTCCTGCAAAACGAACAAACTAAAAATATTTTTGAACTCCTTTTTTTATTCAAAATTTTTGAAAATAACAGCTAAAATGAAGCAAAAAATTTTGCCCCAAAATTTAAAAAAAAAAACAATAAAAAAATTCATACAGTTCCTTTATTATTAAAAAAAAAAAAAAATCCAAACCCTCATATATATATATATATATATATATATATATATATATATATATATATATATAAATATATATATATATATGTATGTATGTATATATTATTAAATCGGATTCCCTCTATATAAAAAATAAAAATAAAAAATTCGGACCTCTCCCATTTAAAAAAAAAAAATTGGTCCTTTTTTTTTCCAAAATAAATACATAGATAAATAACTTTCAAATTGACTTATAAAATAAATACTTGCCAAGTTTAAAACAAAAGTACCTTAAAACACGTTGTTGACTTTAGTGGTAATAAAAAATCTCAACCAAAGCTCTCAGATACCACTTTGGAACACACTAGAAATTCCTTTCCTTTAAAATACTTGTTTTTCTCTTTTTGAAATACGATATAGGAAATTCTAAGACATTACCGCCACCGTGATAACGAATAAGGCAATTATCAAAGACACACAACGGAAGACTAGTTTCAAAAATCCTTTTTAAAAAATAAAACTAACTTCAAAGTCAAACCAAACGAAAGTAAATTTAAATCAAAGTCAGCCTACAACTTGGAACCATTGTAGGCACTTTCAAAAATCCAAACCAAATAATTAAAATCATTGCGTTAGTCCCACAAGCAATTAAATAATATTCAGAGCAAATAAACACATCATATCCTCATGAAAACTAAACAAGATTCGCTCTTCACTCATGCTCCAACATGAATATGCCGCATCACCTGAAAAGCTTCTCCTTACTTTGTCCCCATTGCTCGCCATTAGAAATTGGTCGTCGTAGGGCCAAGATAAAAACAAGGTCAAACAAACATACATACACACAATCAATCAGCAATGCTGAATACATAAGCGTAAACGAAACACACTAACATGCTTACAACCTAGCATCACACAACATACCTTCTTGCACCTATTTTCAAGCATACAACATACAAATCTCATACAATAGACAATTTAATTGTTCATTTAAACAATTTAATTGATTACACATTGAATGGGTTTCCAACCAAATTCCTGCCCTAAATAAATTGAGGTAAACTACTCCGGAAGCTAACCGAGTAGGCATAAATGTCACTTGTGAGTGATGGACGTCTTGCGAATAAAAGGAAAATACAGCATCCTGTACGCCCAGTAGAAGTTATGGTAAAAAATAAAGTCGCATAACTCCCCTCATATATATGTTCATACTCAAGGTATATATACGTTCCGAGAATTTTGGTGCGTAACCTCTTTCACTTTACGTTAGTTACATTTTAGACTTGGTGATGACTCTCAATCCACAACACAACCAATCAATTCAATTTATTCAAGTAATCAAACATTCCAATTCAATTTTTGAATAATCAGTGATCACAAATAATTTTACGTTGAACCCTTTTTAAACTACATCGGTGTTAAAACACCCTAAGCGCATAATGTACCGCAAATCCTATCCTTTGGTGTTTAGAACACCTTAAGTGCACCTACGCACCGCAATATATTTTATTCATGTGTACTAAGACACTTAATAGCTCAATTCCCATGCTTATAGCATCAATAAAAATTATATGAACCATAATAAAATTCTTTTTTTAATATTCCAAACCAAATTAAACATTTAGTGTAAATAAACATGTCTTCAATCATGTCAATAATAAAAGTATGGTTCAATAACAATATTCCATGATCATCAATTCCAACAAATAAATTATTTCAACCAATCATGCTTCACAAATAATTTACCATAAACCATTTCAATTCAACAATCCAATTCAATTCACCAATTCCAACCAATTCCTAGCATGATACTAATTTGAAACCAATTAAAACAAATACTAGCATGCTTTTACACGCTTAATAAATATCGAGTATGCGTACGTACCTGGAATATGATCTCAAAATCGTCACGACTACACGAAATCACTCACTTGAAAGTCTCCTACAACCCACAAACATCAAGAGACATTAATACCTATTCTTATTAAATTTTCAGCAATATAAACACACTTTTAAACCTTCTAAAACATGCTGAAAATTATTTAGAACCACTTAGTTTTATTCCCAATTAATGGGTAATTAAAATCCTTTCAAGAAAACCTTAATTTAGCCTCTATATAAAAATTCCAACAATACAAAAAACTCAAAACTTGCTGTAATTTGATTTTAAAACATCAATTTCAATATTACAAACCAACCACAATTAATTTCCTTCAATAAACATCAATTTAGAAACCTAGGGTTTAATCAATTTTGGGCTTTTTCATATAAAATCAAATTTGAAAATATATATAAAACACTATCAAAATCATCATAATTTCATCATAAAACATTCAAAATCATAATTAATCAAAGTTTAATAAAAATCAAAGATGGAATTTTTTTTTCCTTTAAGCAAAACCGCACACGCACACACGAAGAGAGGGGAGGACGGGCTGTTGCCGCCTTCCCGCGGCTGCTGTTGTCGACGTGTGCTGACGGCGGCCGACTGTGGTGGTGGCAGTGACAGGATCTAGTCGTATCACCTAATAAAAAATAATTACCTAAGTCCTCTAACTAAAGTAGGGTCGAATCCACAGGGAAACAATGTTCTTTTACTCCTAATTAATTATTATAATCTAAATTACAGAGTAACCAATTTGTATTTGTATGAATTTAACTAATAATTAAATTAAGCAAATAAATCAAAGTAATAATCAATAATAAAAAGCTCTAGGGTATAGGTTCACCAATAAATAATACTCCAGGGTAAAACATACGATCAATTATCAATGCATAAATTAATCAGATTATAAAGGTTTGTCGCTACATATTATAATCATATAATTAATCTACTGGTATTAAGTCTCATCTCTCGAATCTCGACCTAACCATTAATAGATTAACATGCCTATTGAAACTAAGCCTAAACATCAATTCTCATCTCTCGAATCAATATTGCAAAACTCATACAATTAAACCTGCGAAAATCTAATTGCATAGTATTAAATCAATCAATAGGAAATTAATCCATCATAAATAATTAACAATAATAAATTACCCCTTCGTATTATTCATGGATCCCCACAAACCCTAGAATAAAACTACTCACATATATTTAAATCTAAACTAAGCAAAGCGTATAAAGGAAGCATGATTAAAACAATAATTATAAACTAATATGAAAATAATTAAACCAAAGAGAAAACAAAGAAATAATATTAAAACTTAGTAATAATAACAAAAGTTGATAAGAAAAAGAAAAGAAAACAAAAGCAAAAACTAAAACTAAACTAAGATCCCCCTCCTACGTACTACTACTCCCTTATAAAGAAAGTAAAAATTTATTCCCACTCAACTTCTAACCCCACTAAAAACTATCCTGTAGCTAAAAATCAATCCTTGAAAGCGTGTAAACAAGGCTTAATATCAGCCTATTAACCGCCTCACAAACTAAACCTATTGGGCCTCTTGTGCAACATGGTTTAACCGAAATAAAGCAGTAGCAACACTCAACGGATCAGGCAAATGGGCTGCCTGATCGGGCCCAACTGAAGGAAATGCCTGGCTCCTTTCTCTTTATGAAAATTTTACCCTACACCCTAGTGTAGGGTGTGTTCCCTACACCCCCCTATGCTACGTCGTTTTGTAGCTGGTATTGAGTTCTCATGTGCAGCTTCTTTCCTTTTGCGATTCTTTCCTTTTTTTTTTTTCCTTTTTTTCTTTTCTTCCTCTTTTTTCCTTTTTTCTTTGTTTCTTATTATTCAATTTATGTATATATATGATTTTAAACCCTATTTTTTCTCTCTCTTCAATTGATCAACCTCCATTTTTGATCTACATTTTTCTCTCGCTAATTCATCTTCTTCATTTGATTTTTTAAACGAACTTGTTAATTGTTACCGATCATCAATGGCGAATTCTGCATCTGGAGATTGCGTTGATTTTGATCGTGATTGCGAGCGTGTGTTTCCTTCTGGAGTTCGTTTGGTTGATTCGTTTGTGCAACAATGTGAGTAATTGTGATCATAATTTTGCAATTTTTAATTATCTCTAATTTGTTCTGTTATAATGCTCTGTTAATTTGAACTTAATTGATGTATTATTATTCACTTTCGATTTTTGAATTTACTACTTTGATTACATTATGATGAACGTTTTTGGATTGTTATACTTTGTATGAACATTTTGTTGCTTCATTTGTTGTTTCATTTGTTGTTTTCTCTGTGTTTTAGAATTGTGTGTTTTTGTCGTATATTTTGTAGATTATACTTTCAATTAATCGTTTACGTTTTCTTATTCATACTTACTAATGTGTTTATGTTCAGTCTTAAAGTCATTTTTGATCATTTATTTTTACATTTTTATATCGATATTATGTGTAGTGGTAAATAATGAAAATATTGTTCAAAATATTATGTGCTGAAATTCTTTTTGCAATTGATCATGTGTTGTTTTGATATTGAACATTTTACTTATTTGTTATTGTTCATTCATGAAACTCTTTATGATCATTTATAATTGTATATTGTGCAGTGGAAAAAAAAGATGATATTATGTATTTAGAAGCAGAACAGTCTGAATTAAAGGATAAAGAATTTAAATCTGAAGATGAATCTTTCGAAGCGTATAATGAATATGCTTTTAGGAAAGGTTTTGGAATTCGAATTGGGAAGAGTAAGAGAAGAAGAGATTATTCTTTTTTGATGAAAAGATTTGTTTGTTGTAATGAGGGATTCAAAGATAATAAGTGTAAGAATAAAAGGATTTATGAGAAGTTGGATCATCGAACTGGTTGTTTAGCTTTTGTGCAGTTTCATATTGATCATTTAGGGGTCTATACATGTACAAGACATGAAATGGTTCATAATCATGCTATGATTCCTCCTAAAAAAAGGCATTTGATAAGGTCTCAAAGAGATGTGAATAAAGAGCAGCTTCTTTTCATTTCAACAATGAAATTGAGTGGAGTCAAAGTTACTGATTCTTTGAGGGTTCTAAAGAAGGAGGTTGGGGGATCTCCTAATCTTTTTTTTACTGCTTCTGATGCTTATAATGCATTGTCATCTGAAAAAGCTGCCCAAATTGAAGGATGTGATAGTAACCAATTGATTAAATATTTTGCCAAGAGACATGTGGATGAGGCAGATTTTTATTATGATTTTGAACAAGATGATAGTGGTGCTTTAGTTAGTTTTTTTTGGCGTGATGGTAGGATGATGAGAGATTATCATTACTTTGGAGATTTGTTGGTTTTTGATACAACTTATAGAACTAATAAATATGGAATGATATGTGCTCCATTTGTTGGGATGAACCATCATGGTAACAATTTCATGTTTGGTATGGGTTTTATTCTTAATGAGCGCACCGAGTCTTTTGATTGGTTGTTTGATACATTTTTGCACTCAATGGGGAGGAAAAGTCCCATTACAATTATGACTGATCAAGCACAAGCGATTGCAGCGGGTATAAGAAACATTTTTCCTTCAACTGTTCATCATCGTTTATGTGTATGGCATCTTGAACAAAATTCTAAGAAACACATTGGAGCATTGAGAGCTTTGGAAGGCTTTACAGATTTGTTTGGATATCTTTTGAAGTATTGTGAAACTCCTGCTGAATTTGAATATTTCTGGAAAAGGTAAATTATTGTTTTTTGTATTTATTTTTATTTTTATTATGTGATATATTTGATTATTATGTGATATATATATGAACATTTAGTGTTTTACATATGATCATACAATTTACTTTGTTATGTATGTTATCATAATATTATTAGTGTCCATATTGTTTATGATCATTATTCTTTATACAAATGTACATATTTTAATTTATATTTTGTACATTTTTAAATTAATATATGATCAATTCTGTTATACAGGATGTGTGATAAATACAAATGTGAAAATGATGATTGGTTATGTGATTTGTATAAAATAAAGGAAATGTGGTGTCCTGCTTATTCTAAGAAGTATTGGTCTGGTGGTATATTGTCTTCTCAACGTAGTGAAACTACTAATAAGTCAGTTTCACAACGTCTTAATAAGACTCAAGGTTTATGTGATTTTTATCATGTTTTTCTTGATGTCATTTCTGAGTGGAGAAGTAAGGAAGGTGCAAGAGATTATAATACTCTGAGGGGTAATAGGCACCTAGCTTTTGCTAATATTGGTATATTAGTTCATGCAAGATCATTGTACACTATTCAAGCTTATGTGCTTTTTGAAGAGGAGTTCATTAGGGGGACAGCTTATGATCATGTTGATAATGGTTTGCGTTTTCCAGAATATTCATATCTTCTTTGGAGGCCTGGGAAGGATATAATTAAGCATGAAGTTGTTTTTAATAAGGAAACACATGCAATTTGTTGCACATGCATGTACTTTAGTGAGACTGGTTTACTTTGTTCTCATTCTCTTCGAGTATATCATTTGCATTGTGTGCGTAATATTCCACAAGAGTATATAATGAAACGATGGACAAAGGCTGCCATGTGTAGTCATGGTATTGAAGAACCTAATTTGAGGACAAATGTTGTGGCTACTAGTGTTTGGAGGTCACAAACAATCAGAAAGTTTGTTAAGTTGATAACAAGTTGTCAGAATTCTTTGAATGCAAGGGCAGAGGTTGAGTGTTATTTTAATCTGTTAAAAGAAAAGGTTGAGAGTGTACAGGTGTAATTGACTTTAGTGAACCTGTTAAAGAGGTTGAAATTGTTGATCTTGAGATCAAGAATCCTCCAAAAGCTAGGCCTAAAGGTGAGAGGAATGTAAGGCCTAAGAGTACCTTGGAGAAGCAGTGTAACAAGGCAAAGGGTAATTTCAAGAGGAAAAAGTCTCTGTACACTCCTTACAAAAGGGGTATAGGGCAACGGAAGTTGTACAGGTATATGATCATTTCATATTTTCAAATTGATCATTTCAGTTTTCGTAAATGATCATTTATGTTTTTTTTTAAATAGGAACTTGATGAGAATGGTTGTGCTGTTACTTATGCTAATTCTATTAGTGATCCCATTGAATTGATTGTTTTAAGCAATAAACGGGCTCAGGTAAATTCAAATGTGCCAAAAAAAACATTTTATTTATATTTTATTAATATTGATTTTTATAATTTAAAAATATAGGTCGGCTTAAAATCAGCTGTTGTAGAAGAAATTCCTTCTAGTTCTAAGGAATCAAATCATAGTATTTCCAATGATTTTGATCAGGTATGTTTGTTTGTTATTGATTATAAATTTATTTTATTTTTTGGCATTTATGATCTATATTATAATTTTTTTTTATTTAATTTTTTATTTTTTATATTTTTTTTTTGGTTTTTTTGTAGGCTACTGGTGAAAGCTCTCTTTCATCTATCATATCTATTGATGTTGATATTTCATCTATTGCTAAGGTTTTTTTTTTCCATATTTGTTTGTATAAGTGTTTGTAAATGATCATATACTAGTTTATTAATGATCAATTTAATTTTTTTTAAAGGCGAAGGATTTAAATCTTGAAGGTGTTTCTGCTGTTCAAGCTCGTTCTAATGTTGGTGCAAATAAAGGTGCTTCTGGTGTTAAAACTTACTCTCAAATTAATCCAAGAGTTCCAATTCATACTAGTGCGTCAACAAAATCTCCTATTGTTATTCAACCTACTGTTCCTAGGAATGTTCAAAATCAAACTCAGAATTGTTCAAACACCAATCCAGAAATGATCATATCCAACTCCAGGAATGTTCAATCAACAAATGTTCAAGTTATTTCTCCTACGGTTCAAATAAATGATCAAGGATTTCGTGTTCAGAATGTTCAAGTTACTCCTCCCACAGTTCAAAGAAATGATCAAGGTGCTCGTGTTCCAATTCTTCAATCAAGAAATGTTCAATTAGGTTCTAAAAAGATTTCTTCTAAGTATGATAGGTTGTTAGCCTTTTTTGATACAAGTGTAGCTAAACGTTTGGCTAATAAAGATAAATAATTAGTATTCCAGAACTTTATAAACATTAGACTTTTTTGTAATGTTGATTTAATTACTATTTTGTAATTTTGAATTTTCGATCTATTATGTAAAAGACATAAATATTATATTTTATATAGTACTATTTTTAGTATATTTGAACTTTATATTAGAATTTTATATGTTTTTAAAATAACATATAAAATTCTAATATTTAGTCATTAGAATTTTATATGTTTTAAAATTCTACATTTATCAGTGATTATTTAGTCATTTGTATATGAACAAAAGTAAGAATCAACATCCAATTTATAAAACTTATAAAAAACTTTCATTCAAAGATTAAAATGAAATATCAATTACAATAATATTAAAATAAAATATAAAAAACTTTCATTCAAAGATTAAAATGAAATATCAATTACAGTAATATTAAAATAAAATCCATAAGTCTATTTCTTAAAAAAAAAATAGTCATATATAAGAAATGAACATATACATAGTTGTAAATGAACATTTGAAACTACAAAGTTGCAAATTTTCTAGCTTTCCTTCTATTTGCTCTTGATTCAGTGTTTTCTTCAAATAACATCAGTTCTGCTGTGTATTGGAGCCTTAGATTTCTAATTTGCTCCACCTGTTGAACAAAATGAATTGTCAAATTTTAATTAAACAATCTTTACTGTTTCATAAATGAATATTATATCTTAAATAATTGATCATTTATAACTCTTACATTGTTTGATTTTAAATCACAAATCCAGCTCTCATTAGGATCAGCAGTGAAGGTTTCCATATGCTTCATAATGTAAACTCCACAGTTTGTATAGTCATTGTTGCTAGGCCATTTCATCTTTTCCAAAACAACTGTGTAGTCTTCAATTCTTTTTGCATCTTGATATCCAAGGTGTTTCATGTACTCTGCCAATCCTTTTAACTGATAGAAAAAAGAGTAAAAATTGTTTAGAAGTTTGTATTGTGATGAAGACATGAACAATTAATAAAATATAATTGATCATGTAGCCAACTATAAATGAACATATTATCTCACCATCATTTTTGGTTGTTCTTCATATTTTGCTTGGACTGATACCTTTTTTGGTAGTTTTCTATTGTCAATTATATGAATTTTGTCTTCTATATGATTGACGCACAACAGAAAAAAATGTTGAGAAGTTGATACTAGGAAGAAGACCTGAACAAATTATATAATGTTATAGGACAATATATTGAATGTAATTGAACATTTGTATTAAACAAGAATTAATACCTGTTTATATCCAACAATGTTGTCAATTTTATTCAACTTCAGTTCATTGCCAATTCTTTCTATGAAGGCATTAATTCTTGTCTTCATTGATGATCCTTCTCGACAAACTCTATTTGTGCACATAATGTGCTGTTGAAATAGAAACAAACATATAGAAGTTAAATGAATTTTTAGCAATTATTTATCATAGGAAAATAGAATCAATAATATAAAAAAAGAAGAAAGACTAACAAGAAGCACTGTTGAGAAATAAATCTTGTTTCTCGGCTTTTTATGATTAAGAAACCTTGCTCATCCATCTATGACACAATTTGTCACTTCAACATCATCTCCAAGAGTTTTCATTTCATTTCTATTGATGAGATTCAAGCCATCATAGTATAAGAGTGCACTGCATTATGAACATTTAATAATATGAATGTGAACATATTTTTATAAAGATATTAAACCTTAAGTTTAATTAGTGTAAGTAATTACCTTTCATCTTTTCCACCAAGAGCAAAGTCTACTGCAATTTGGTTCATGGCTTTCTCATCTTTAAACAGATCCTTGTACTTGACCAAGTAAGGAGATCGGAAAGCAGGAGGAATTGTTTGCTTTTCGCGTTTTGGTCTTGTTGTTCAATATAAAATATTGTTAAATTAAGAAAATTATGAGGAACATAAATGAACATTTGAGTGTATATAAATAAATTTGAAATTATACCTTTCAACCTTTTCCTTTTCAGTTTTTTTCTTCTTTTCTGCAATTGACTTTTTCTTATCATCATTCCTGGTCATATTACATAACACAAATGTACATTTAGGTATATGAAAATGTTCATTATTATTTTTGAACATTTACTTAATATAAATAATGTACCTTTTTGTGACTTTTGAGGATGAAGCAACAATCTTCTTGTTTTCACTGAAAAGTCAAACAATGTCAGTACATATTAATAAAATATAAGCTTCTTATGTAACACCCTGAATCATTTTCAATTCATAAAATGAAAGATATTGATTTAACATAAACCACACATTCATATTACATATTCAACAAAATAATGTACACACATACAATAGTTTGAGAAACTCCAGTTTCAAGTTACAACACGATAGTAACATAAGTTAAATTGTTCCATCTTGATATTTTATCCTTACTAATTACATAACCCTAATAGTAAGACATGTCTTCAGGATTTTACCCCTCCACTTTTTCATCATTTTTTGTTTTTTCAAAAACATCTTCCTTGTTTTGTTTTCCACCTCCAACTGTGTTTTTTGGATCATCACTTTTTTCACCACCATCTGACCTAGGGTCAGCATCAACCACTGAACCAGATCCTGCATCTAAGAAAAAATTTAATTAGATATAATATTATTTCTTTGTAAATGAACATTTGAGTATTTATAATTGAACATTATACCTGTTCTAGGCAATCCTTCATTATCTGACCTAGTGTCAGCATCAAATTTTGAACCAATTGCTGCGTCTAACAAAAAAATACAATTAATAATGAATATTTCTTGTTTGTAAATGAACATTTTACACTTTTTAATTGAACATTATACCAGTTCTAGAAAATTCTTCAATTCTTTGTTCTGAAGCTGCTGAAGTTTTACCCACATCCTTTTCTCCAGCTGTATTATAAATCATCATTTTGGAGATACACTAAGTTAATAGTATTTACACATAATAATTAGAAATGAACATTTCTACTTAAGTTTATGTACATTATTATTAAATATATGAACATATTACCATTTGTTGAAATTATTGGTTGTTCAATTATATCACCAATTATATCACCAAGTGTTGAAGAGGTGGGCCCTGTTTCTGTTTAGGACAATTTAGACCACAAATTTAGAATTTTTCATATAAAAATTAGGATATATAGTCTCTTTTAGTTAGAATTTACCAATGGCTGGAGAAGGTGGAGTCAACCCCAAGCTGAAAGCTTTTCTGATGTCATATTCTTGTTCTTTTTCCTTTCCCTTTTTGGTTAATTTCTTCCCAGTAATTTGCTTCTCAATTGTTTGCTTTTCAGACCCTTGCATCAGATTCTTCTCAGCTTGTGCAAGTGCATTTAGGAAATCCTAACTGCCAAAGAATTCTTCATCTTGGCTTAGAATTGATGGTTCCCTAGCTGCCACCTTTCCTAAAACTTCATCAACTTTTTTCACCAAGTCATTTCCAGGGAAGAAATCCTTTGCCTTCACCAATTTTGAAGAAAGCTTTGACAGGTTTGAACAAGTTGTTTTTACCAGGGAAACAAAATCATCCATAAAAACCTATATGAATGAATATTAAAAATTATGCAGTTGAACATTTCAGATTATACAAATGAACATTTATGTTAACAAAAGTGATCATTTTATAACCTTAGGACTTTCTTCAACTTCTGCAGCAATCCTTGGTAGAATTTTCCCTCTCCCAAATCCCAATTCTAATTCAATCTTCAACCTCTCAAGAACCATGTCTCTATTCCATGCAGATATGATAGGAATTGTTCTTGGAGGCCTTTTGTCTAACCTCTGAACTCTATCAAAATAGAACAACTACAAGAAAAAAGAAAACATGGAACAGAACATAAACAATAAAAAAAAGTGCATTTATTTAAATTTAAATGAACATTTTGTATCTAAGAATATACCATCAGAAATTGAAGAGGGCCTTTGTAGAACCCCTTGCCTTGCTGCTTTCTCCAATCAACATGACATTTGATAAGTTAGTCATATACAAACTGACACCAGTTCAAATTTTTTATGTTTTCTTTGTCCATCATAGAATAAAGAAATTTGAAATGGCATTGATTGTTTGATACACATTTCATCAAGCAGTTCACAGCCACTGCTAAAAAGTTAGTAATGAAATGTTCACTTGGTGGTATGTTGTTGGTGAATTTATCATTTATGTATCCATTCACAATCTGCAAACAAAATGAACAAAACATTTATACTTTTGATCATTTAATGTATTTAAAATGAACATTTAAAACTGATCATACCTGACTCACTGATGGAGTTTTTCCTGACCATGATTTTCTCCATTTCTTCAGAAATTCTGCATACTCCTCACTAATTTTATCAGACTTTGGCTCAACAATTGGAATTTCTCCTGTAGGCAAGCCATAAACTACCCTAACATCCTCTACCTCAATTTCTATTTTTTCATTCTTTGGTAGTTCAAAACACTGGCTATTTTCTTCAAAACTTCCCAATAACCAGTTACGGAACTTTTGATCAAGTTGAGGTAAACTAATGTCAAGAAGTGATCCTAACCCTATATCAACAACTTGTTATTTTTGGGTAGGTGTCATCTTTTTTATCCATGCAATGAACTTCACATGTCCTCCTCTCTTTGAAGATTTCTCTTCCTCAAATTCATCTTCCTGAATTTCCTCAACTTCATCAGTTTCTATTGCTTGAACCATTTCAGTTTTCATTTTCTTTTTTCCCCTACCTTCAATCTTTCCTTCATCATACAGTACCATCTTTTGCTCCTCCTTTTCAACCTTTGCCTTCACTGAATTCCCTTTCTTTGCCTGTTTCTTCCTTGGCTTTACTTCTTCCTCTTCCTCCTCTTCCTCCACCTCATAATCATCCTCACTGACAGGCTCTGCTTCTGCTCTATAAACTGACTCTTCACTATCATCATCACTGTCAGTAGAACTTTCATCAGTAGGATCTAGAGAGGGTTCATCTGATGGTACTTCTTGTATTTTTTTTCTCTTTCCAACATTTCTCTTGGCAGGACTGACATCTGAAAATTAAATATATAATTTTGTTTAAGTATTGAAAATGTACAGTAAGCAAATGATAAAATGAACAAAATTGTTTTCTCAAATGATCATTCTATATATAGAAATTGAACATTTATAATATATCATTATATACCTGCTTTTCTTTTGCCAGCAACCTTAGAAGTTTTCTTCACTTCTTCTGGAGTTTTCTTTTTCCCACCTATATATTGAAATTGAACATTAATGATATACCATCATAAATGATCATTCTATACATTAAGATTGAACATTTACCCTTTTTGCCTTCGTCTGGAGGATATTCAGCAGGAGCACCTGCCATTTTTTTTATTGGAGTAGGTGCTGGAGGTGGTGCATCAGCTTCCTTTTGAATAGGAAAAGTCCTTGTAGACATTCTTCTCTTCTGTCCTATTTTTGCGGTTTCTTTAGCAGGTTCAACATCCTTCTTCAGGCTTCCCTTTTCAGATTCATCTAACAGAACATCTATTATTTTTAAAATAAATTATGTTAGTATATTTGAAAGTGTAATATTTATTGTGAAACAGAAAAGTATTATGATTACCTTGGCTCCTTGTAATTCTACCACTTGGCACAACAACAAGGCTTTTGTTTTTGTTTTTCCTTGCAACCATTTTGTATCTTGTTTTCATTTTGGTTGACTGATCACTTTTTTGTGATGATGGAGCTGTCTCCTCACTAAGTTTTGTGGAAACTTTATCATCATCTTGATCTAGAAGATAAGTTTCATCCTCAATTTGAACAAAATCAGGTGCAATTTGTGTTGCATATGAAATGATCAAATATAAAAGATTAAATAAACATTTATTTAAATTGGATGACAAATGTTTACTATATACAATATAAATGAACATTTCAGATAATGAATATGTACATTTTCCACTATTTACCTTTCGGATCTGTTGTCTTTGTAGACTCATCTTCCACTGTTTTCTCTTTAGGGATTTTCTCCTTTTCAGGCTCTTTTTTTCCCTCTTGTCCTTCTATGAAAATTTAATTAGTTAATATTTATATATTTTTTTAATCTTATTGAACATTAAATATTATGTAGATCCAATATGAACATTTTATGTAATAAAAATGTACATTTATAAATTTTTACCTTCTACATTTGTTGTCTTTTGAAAGACATCTTCCACAGTTTTGTCTTTAGGGCTTTTCTCTTTTTCAATCCCTTTTTTTCCTTCTTGTCCTTCAATTAAAATTTATTTAGTTAAAATTTAATTTTTTTAATCTTATTGAATATTTAATATTATGCTTTTCCAATATGAACATTTTTTGTAATAAAAATGTACATTTTAAAATTTTTACCTTTTTCCACAGTTTTCTCTTCTATTGGCCCTTTTTCTTTCTTTTTTGCTTCACCTTCAAAAGTAATAGTATTGTTAAAATTGATATTTATGACTATTAAACAAAAATATTCAATAAATATGATCATTTACCTTTCCTGATTTCCTTGCTTGCCTTTTCCATTCTTTTGAGATTTCTCATAATTCTGATTGTCGATTCTTTGTACTTCCTATAAATGTATGATATTGTTATATAACTTTGAAATATATTCATTAATTGATTAAATTAATTCAATTATTTAAATTTAAACATACTTTGGGTTTCTCTCTATGTCTAAATGTATTTCTTGCATCTTGTCCTTTAATGTTGTTATTCTTGCATCATCTTTGGGTTTTCTAATATTTCATTAAAAATATGTTTGGATTTACAATTTTGATTAGTAAATAAAAAAATGAACATATAACTTATATTACTATTGGCCATGAGCAAACTTTTTTGTACTGATTTTCAAATGAACATATAGTCTATCTAAATTGAACATTTAAGTTTTCTTACTTTTGGCCAAGACTATTCTTTACAGGATTGCTTTGCACTTTTGGTTGAACTTCTTCTTGCTTGCTGAAATCAATATTAAGAAATACTTTAAATAAAAAATGCACATAAATTGTACACAAAATATACTGTTATAAAAATGAATATTTGTTTATATAAAATTGATTATTAGTATACCTTTCATCCCTACTCTCTTTGTCAGTTGTGTTATGTGTAGCAGACACACTCTTAGTTGTTGCATTAGTAGCAGGAATGTTCTCACTTTGTTCACTTAAAAAAAACAGAATTATTTTATATAATATGATATTAAAGTATGAACTAATTTATACAATGAAGAAGATAATTAGTTATTTTGGTATAAAGCTTTTATACCTTATTGTTTGATTTGTCTCTGGTGGTCTTGATTTTGACATAACAAATTTCACTCGAACCTTTTTTTTCACTAAAATTTTAAGAATTACCTAATAAGTTTGGTATATATATACAATGTACAATAATTGAATGTAAAAACAATTATTTTATACATATAAACTTACTTGTTTAAAGTGTATCTTTCATAACTATTACCATATTCATTTTGTTCTATAACCTTCTTTAGAGTAATGGTTCAGATTTCCCATCTCTAAATTGAAGCAAGTGTATCACTCTAAATGGCACATCACTACATTATAAATTAATTACATGACATTAGTTTGAATGCATATCACTGAAATGATTATTATCATATTTATATATGTGCATGATGATTTAATGAAATGTATATTTGTTATTTAAATCTCAATGAATACTCAAATGAACAAATATACATATATGATCATAATTATATCTATAAATGAACATTATGAGTATCAAATATGATCATATACAATGATGTTTCAATGAAATGTACTTTTGTTCTTAAATCTCAATAAATACTCATATGAACAAATATAAATATATGATCATAAATATATCTATAAATGAACATTATGAGTATCAAATATGATCATATACAAATAACATATTAAACAAAGATAAAACCAATTTTTATCAAATACAACTAGCATATTAGACATGAACATAATATATTCTGTAAATGACTAATTACCTTGGTAGTGGAGACATTGTTAAATCCGTACCAATTGACTTGTCAATATCTTTTAAAAAGTTTCGGATCTACAATTGGATCATTTTGGCGGTTTTTTTCAATTTGTCTACTCTTGACTGAAGAGGTACATCATCATCATCGTCTCTGTTTTATTTAATAAATTGTTAATGTTTTAGTTATTTTCAGTAAAATCTTAGAACAATTACTACAATCGCAAAAAAATTTAACAAAAATTAGGTTTTACAAATAAATTCGCTCTATAATTTTCATCGCAAGAATATGAACAAATTAGGTTTTACAAAAGTTAGGGTTCATACATTTCTTCAGAAATTTTCAACAAATTACTCGTCTCTGAAGTATTCTTCTCCAAAATCATACTACAATTGCAAAAAATTGAACAAAAATTAGGTTTCACACATAAAATCGCACTATAATTGTCATCGAAAGAAAATGAACAAAATTACTTACTCTTTAGATACATTTTGCTCCGATTTTGCAGTTTCTTCTTGCATGTTCTTCTCTGTAGTGGTTTTTTGCAAAATCGCACTACAATCGCAACAAAATGAACAAAATTAAGGTTTCACACATAAAATTGCACTACAATCTCAAAAAATGAACAAAACTAACGAAATTACTTACTCTTTTTGTTGTGATTGTTTAATTTCTTCTCGAATATCAGACATTTGAAGCAATTTTGGAGTATGATTTTGTTGTGATTCGTTGGGTTTGATGAGAGAGAAACTCTAGAGAAATGAAGAAGATGGTGTTTAGAGTAAGAGAATGATTTGAAATTGATTTTTTTTTTTTTATTATGCAGTTACTGCGGTTATTGTGGGGAGTGGGTAATTATTGTGGGTTAGTGGAGGGGGTGTGGGTAGTAACTCTAAATGCTGCGTTTAGAGGGAGTGTAGGTTGGGCTACCTACACTAGGGTATAGTGTATACCAATTATTCTCTTTAACTTTTGGCTTGGACTTCTACCGCCTGATTGGACATTGGACCGCAAGATCAGGCCTGATTAGCAATGCTACGAACTGGGCCTCATGCCTTCTTTTGTTTTGGGCCATTTCTTCTTTCTTTCCTACTTGGTTAGTGACACTTGTTTGGTCCGTGATAATAATTAAACATTAAAACTTTGGACCTCTTCACTTAATCGAGCCCTTAATCATCGAACCAAATTTAATTAGCTCAATCTTGAGCTTCAAATATACGATCATAAAATACGATCTGATTCTAATATCTTTATAGTGGCTCAATAAGCTCAGGAATTATCATAATTCTGCAAATTCCTACAAAATAGTACCAACTCTACAAAAATACTAGAAAATGTATATTAGTAATAAAAATAGCTCCACAAAGCTCAAATAAGCACAAATATGACCGTGGGACGGGAATAAAATATATATAAAATAGACTTATCAAACTCCCCCAAGCCAAACCTTTGCTTGTCCCTAAGCAAAGCAATGAATAAGTAAACCAAAACTTCACCCCAAAAATAATTTAAATCAAGCACAATCAATTCAAGGCAAATCCAACAAATATGCATCAAAGTCAACCAATCAAATCCATACAACTACTCATCCTTCCTAACAATTGTCAAGTAGAGCGAACCACAAGTGTATATGGAATTCAAGACTAGTGCTCACGCACTCAACTCTCATTTATGTGGCGAGTAAAAGATGTACTCGATCGCTCTCCATCCAACCCCTTTAATGTGAACAATGCCCTCCCAAACTCACAACACTCGTGTGTTTAAGAAAACAAGCACTCAACCTATCAGTCGACTCGAAATATATCAAATCATTCTTTGCATTGATAAATAACTACTTTCACATCCATACAACTCTATGCACAAAGGTCGGAAGGTCTTCAAAGCTTGTAATGTAAGGCTTAGGTAAAGAGTAGGAAATATTTAGGAAAATGTGAGAGTAAAGCCATGCTTAAGGGAGCCAAATCCTAATTAATAAAACCAAGGTCAAAAATAAATAATGACCAACAAATCTCCAACACAACTCAACCCTACCAAAAATTCACCAAATATCCAATCCATTCATAACCAAATTTCCCAACACTTACAATTTCACTCATATATACAAAATATAACACTATAGAACTTGAGTGAACAAACAAACTTGAACTCTTTTTTCCTTTTCTGATTCTTTTAGTTTTTTTTCCCTTCTTTTGAGCAACCTTCATTCGAACACTTGAACATTGAAACAATTTTTTTTTTCATTTGCTCTTTTTTTTTCTTTTTATCTCACATTGGAAATTTTCAACTTTGAACAATAATTTTTTTCAATTTTTTTTCCAATCCACAAATACAAGAACAAATAAAAACTTCTTAAATCCACACAAAATTGTGCAAATTATGTGCACACTACAAACTCCCTCACCTCACTCACTAATAGCTCCCCCAAGCCAAGCTTGGGACTAGTAACCAATGGGGCAAATTAGGCTTATAATGTGGCTAATAAACAATAAAAGGGCACAAGTAACAACATGGGTAGCAAGAAGGGAACAAATGTATCTAAAATCTCCTGAAGGCCACCTAAAAGAACAAATGCCTTCGTCCTCCTCATTGTGCATAATAATGAGTCATACAAACATTACTCAAAGTTATAAACCAATACTCAAATTCATTGACATACCAGGAACTAATACACATTCCTAACCAAATCAACTAGTCAAGCACCAAATCCACAATTAGTTGGACAAAATTGACTCATGTTAAGGCATCCAAGCAATCAAACATCAAATCATGGCTAACCTATCCACAATACTCATCATCATATACCAAGAATCAAAACAATTTTCATGTATGGGGCACAGAGAAGCATGATTTATCATTCATTGGATCGTATTTTTGTATTTTTTATTTATTTTGAAAGCATAAATTCTAAACTAAACTAAGCACACCAAAGAAAATAAAAAGAAAAAGGAAAGAAAGAAAACCTATACATACAAGAAATTCCCCCCAAGCCAAACCAGACAATGTCCTCATTAGCTCAAAGGGAAGTAAGTAACCCAGGCGACTACCCCTCATCATCAAACTCGTATCCACCACCATACCAAGCATTGCAATGCATCACCTTGGTACAATTCTGGACAAGAAAGAAACAAAATGTTAGTAAGAGAAGAGGTAAAAACGAGTCAGCTTCACTATTTCGATCATAATTTTTTTTATACAAATGATAATTCAGTGATTCTAATTTCATTGGAAAGTAGACTTGAAGAGATTTTCAACGATAGGTCACACAAAAAATTCCGTTAAGAAACGCAAAAGTTATGGCGTTTTGAAGTTGTCCTGTTTTGTTGTCGCGCTCTCGCGCCCGGCCGGGCGCGCCTCTGGGCGAGTTTAACACTTTTTTCAACCTTTGGGAGAATTTTGGGCGAAAATCCTCTTTTCTCTCGCGCCCGGTCGGGCGGCATCTTGCCCGGTCGGGCGGGATTGCTCGTATACGAACTTCCTCTCGCGCCCGGTCGGGCGCCCTACAGCACTTTGAGTCCGATTTTTCTCAATTTTTTCCTTTTTCTCCACTTGTTCATCTTCAAACCCAAACCCTACACAATATAAAGCTCTTTCTATAGCATCCACTTCATCCTTCCATGTAGTGGCTTTTCCTGTGGAAGATGTAACACAAAATACCGCCTCCAAGGGATCTCTAATGAGAGCTTGGGGCTTATTAGAAAAATTATATACATCAACCACATCAATAGTATAGCACTTTTCTTCCAACATGGGGCTTTTAGGGGCATTATGTAGATTAAAAATAATATTTTCATCCCCTACACATAACGTAAGTTTACCACTTTTCACATCTATCATTGCCCCTGCAGTATGAAGGAATGGTCTACCCAATATAATTGGAATTTGCAAATCTTCCTCCATATCAAGAACAAAAAAATCAACAGGTATATAAAATTTACCTACTCTAACAGGTACGTCCTCTAAAACACCTAAAGGATATTTAAGAGAACGATTAGCCATTTGCAGAGTAATATTGGTAGCTTTTAATTTACCCATATTTAATTTAGAGCTCACGGATAATGGCATAACACTTACACTAGCACCCAAATCACATAAAGCTTTATCAATCATCAAATTTCCAATGTGACAAGGAATAGAAAAACTACCCGGATCTTTTAGCTTAGGTGGAGATTTATTCTGTAGTATAGCACTACATTCCTCAGTAAAAGCAATTGTCTCTACCTCACTAATAGATCTTTTTCTGGTCAAAATTTCTTTCATGAATTTAGATTATGTAGGAACTTGAGTAATTAATTCTGTGAAAGGAACCGTTACCTGCAAATTCTTGACGACTTCCAGAAACTTACCAAACTGCTTATCTAATTTACTCTTGAGATGTCTATTAGGAAATGGTAGCTTGATAACTGGTTTCTGTACATCTCCACACTTGTCTTGAGTTTTACCCTGCAATTTATTATCAGAAGAGTTAGTTTTATTCCGGAGGCCTGCAGGGTTAGTAACAACAATATTTGGTGTAACAGAATCAGGAGTAGCAATTTTTGTAATGATAGGTTCATCAGCTTTGGGCATAGAAGGCCCATTGTATTTTGAACCACTTCTCAGCGTAATTGCATTCACGTGATCGGTAGGTTGCACCGGCTGCGATGGTAGGGCTCCCTGCTGGCGAGTTTGTAGAGCATAGGAAAGTTGCGCAATTTGACTGTCCACGATTTTATTATGGGCTAAAAGTGAATCAATTTGTGCATCCCTACTCTGTATGTGTTTCTGCATATCAACTAACATCATTCTGATTTCTGATAAGCCAGAATCAGAAGGGGGAGTAACAGTCTGTTGTGGTCTCTGATGTGGAGGTTGGTAGTACCTCTGCTGCGGTTGTTGTAACTGTGGTGGGGGGTTAGGCACATTCGTACTATTGTACGACATATTCTAGTTATTTTTCAACCCTGCATTGTAGGTGTTAGAGTATGGACTAGTTTGCTTATAAGCCTGAAAAGCATTAATTTTCTCAAGCGAACTAGTACATTCCTGAGCCCAATGACCTACAAGACCACAATTTTCACAGTTAATTGCAGAGTTAGTACCAATAGCAGAAATGTTAGCAACTGAAGATAAATAAGAATTATTAATATTGTCTAGTTTCTGGCTAATAGCAGTCAATTGTGCTTGCAAAAAGGATATAGAATCAACTTGGTGCTTTCCCTTATTTGCAAATCCCCTTGGATTCCCATATTGGGAATTATGAATGGCCATCTCCTCAACAACATTACTCGCTATATTTACATCTAAATTCATAAATCTTCCGTTAGCTGCAGAGTCTAAAATTATTCTTGAATTATATCCAATCCCATTGTAGAAGGCTTGGATTATCTGCCACTTTTCTAGCCCATGATGAGGGCATTCTCTCTGCAAATCCTTAAATCTTTCCCAAGCTTCATATAAAGATTCATCCGCTTCTTGGGAAAAATTTAGGAGTTTACTCCTTAACAAAGTTGTCTTCTCTGCAGGGTAATATTTATTATAGAAATTCAAGGCAAGAGTATCCCAGTTAGTAATACCAAGAGCAACTCTATTCAATCCATTATACCACAATTTAGCTTTACCACATAAAGAGAAAGGAAAAAGAATCTCCCTGATTTGGTCCTGCGTGACCCCAACTTGCCTAATGGTGTTGCAATATTGGCAGAAATCTAAAATATGAAGATTCAGATCTTCACCCTTAGCTCCGCTAAATTGCTTCGTTTCGATCATAGTAATAAATTGGGCTTGATTTCAAATTGTACTCCGTCAAGATCAGGTGGAGGAGTAAGATGTTGGAAATCTTCCAGGGACGGCTGCGAATAATCACTGAGCTTGCGGGGTGGTGGATTCGCCATCTCTGCTTCTAGTTCTGAATGAATCTCTGTATCACTAGAATCAGATGGTGGTTCCAAAGGTATAGTACCCTCGGAAGTGGCTCGTACCTGTCTAAAAAGATTCTTCTGTCTATGAAAAGAACGTTCAATTTCAGGGTCAAACGGAATGTAACTTGATCTAGAACTCCTGGGCATAAACACAGAAGTAAACAAACAGATATGAGATACTGTCCCAAAGAACTTACGTTCTCTGAGACTAAAGAAAAACAATCTAGACTACAATAATAATCAGAAATAAAAAATAAAACCGTTTCCCCAGCAACGGCGCCAGGCAGCCGGCCACCGTGCATGT